CTTTCAGGTGTCCTGCGATTGCCCGAGCTGTCCTACTAAATAGCTCAAGGCAACCTCTGATCGAAAATTCTAAAATCTATGAAAAAGCTCCCGCACACCCGGGACGCCCCAAGTAGACGAGAGCAGGGAACAACTTTTCTTCTCAAGTGAATGTGTATCTGTCTAATACACTCACCGAGGTTTTCTTTCATGTGTTTCTGGATTGCCCGAGCTTTCCTATTAAGTAGCTCAAGGCAACCACACAACCAAAATCACAACCAAAAAAATTTTGGTTCGTGTACTTCTGACAGACCCGATCTAGAATCCAAAGTTGATCACAAATTTCCGAGTCAAATGGGCTCCTGTGGTCCTAATATGCACGCCCGTTGTTAGTTGTCCTTTTAACCCAGGCCCAAATGGATATTTTCCGTTTCTCAAATTGCCCTAGAAGGTTTCTCTAAGTTTTCAATAAGGAGGGTTGCTAAGAGGTTCAAGTCACTCCGAAGGGTTACTTCGGAGGGTTGTTAAGACACTTAGCCTACTTCGTAGGGTTACCTCGGAGGGTACCTTAGCCACCCAAGAGACTTCGGAGGGTCCCCTTTAACTCACTAAGGAGGGTCAATAAGAGGCCTTATATGCTCCGGAGGATTACTTCGGAGGGTTCTTTCAAAATTTTCAAATTATTGAACCTCACTTAGAAGGGTCTTCAACTAGCTTCAGAAAGCGTCAAAGCAAGCTAAATTCTCTATGGGGGTTGTTTTAACTTCTTCGGAGGGTCTCGTGGAAAATTTCTACTAAGGACGGTTGCTAAGGGGCTTAAGTCACTCGGGAGGGTTACTTCGGAGGGTTCCCCAAAAATCGTAAAAACGGGTTATTCTACCGCGGTAAAGTCCCCGAAAGCGGTCTAATTGACTCAAAACTAATTTGGCTGACGCGGTCAACCTTCCCAGTTGAATAAAAAGGTAATTTTATAAAATTTTCTGCCGCTCGGAGGGTTCCCTATAATTCGGACTCTCCGAACCAACAAATTCTAAAAAATTTCTCTTCTCCAAGACTATCAACCCAAAAACGGTTGTGCGGTTGTGGTCCGGAAAAGTGGTCAAAAACTTCGACTTATGGTACCAAAATTATCCCGATCGGTTGGCTAGTCTTTGAGAAATCGCCAAAAACGCGATCGTCAAAATGGCCTTTTTTCACCACCTATATAGGTTCTGAAAAACTTTTGACGCAATTCTCAGTGAAAGTGCCCAAAAATAATTAAAACGAGCGTAGTAGCTCCGTACGGCACTGGAATTATGCAAAAACCTGAACCAAAATTGGTTTGGAAACAAAAATTTGGCCAATAACTATCAAATTTGGACCCTCCGATTCCTTCTTTTTCCAATCCTGAAGTCGTTAGCTCTATCCACGGAGCTAGTCGGAGGTTTATGCAAGCATATTTCTGGCAACCGAGCACGCTATGCTAGCACGCTCCTAACGCAAAAAATTTTATTGCTCTACTCTAAAAGCTCAAAAACTTGATACCCAAAACAGATTGACAAAATTCAGAAAATTATCAAAATTTAGATCGAAAAATTTTCGTTCCCTCTAACTTCTACTGAGTCCTTTTTCACGCGGTTTCGTTAGTCAGGGGGATCGATCTACGTAGCAACTCCCTGTATAAAAGCTTTTTGCTGTTCGGAAAAGCTCGGATATCCAAAATTTTGAGGGTCTATAGTTTGGTCAAAAATCAGTAATTTTCGACAAAATTTGGGTGTTTCTTGGGTCTAAATAGGAGATAAGTAGTATATAATAAGGATAATAACCTATTAGTAGTCATTAATGAATATTACAATACCCTCCTTTGCACCAAAATACCCGAATTAAGACCCTTAACTCGGAAATTTGTGATCGATGGAGGGTACAATCGGACCGCGCCAATCGTGCACCCCACCAATTAAGTTTTAATGAAATAGTACCCGAACAAAACTAAAACTGTTTCAACGATACCCAACAGTCGTTGTGGATGTTGTCACTGATGTCCCTGTTGAGTGTGGAACACGTCGGTCAGCTTGCCACTCTACCCTCCGGCCACCTGCAAAATCACCATTAACGTGCTTAAATACTCATATTACACTCAAGGGAGGGTACCCAACCCTTCACCAAAACACACAATCTTTCTATCAGAAATGATATAAATCAATCTGAAACAGCAACAAAAAGAAATGTCAGATCACATCTTGTCCGGAAATAACATATTAACTGTCACTTTATTTTTTTTCTGTTTTTGGTCTTTTTTGGATTTTTTTACTGTTTTTGGTTATACACTATTTTTGTTTGGTTTTACACTTTCTCTTTAATTTTTTTTGGTTACGGGACCTCGGGACAAGCGGGCTCATGACTTCCCACCTAACCCTCCGGCCCCCGGATTTTTCGGTCATAACTAAGTTAAAAAGCTAAATAAAACTAGGCGGAGGGTACGCACCCTCCCCCTAGCGCAATAAAGGTCATTAAGGCCTCTAAATTGGGCATACGCCCGGAGCGGAGGTTTCGTCGCTGAAACGTTTGCTGATCATGATGGTCTTATGCCTTTAACAGGCCCACCCAGGAGCGCCATAAAAACCTCTCTGTAACATTCGCCCAAATACTACACAACGAAGGAGCGTAAAAAAAGTACCTATTAACGACTGGTGAGCGTCAGTTACCTTCATTCTACTCGTTTTTTGCCGTCTCGGCCTAGCCAGTTGATTTTCTGGTCTGTTTCCGGCTAAGTAAAAAGTTACTATTTTTAGGCCATCAGTCAAACGACTTTTGATCAGCTTTCGTTTACATGTGAAAACAACCACATAGCTGAGTCTCGGATCCTCAGACTACGTGATTGCTATAAAAAACACGGCTCGAACACCCTATTTTGTTAAGTTTTTGTTGACAGTTCTATTTTAAATACATTGGAGATGGATTGACACTTTCCTCTTTCTAGCTACTCATATTCTAAACTATCAGATAATAACGGTGTCAATTTAAACGTTTATGGCATCAGAGTAGATAAAAATTTAGTTTACTACAGTCTTTCACCATATATCAGTCTCTGGAGGACCAAGCCTCCGCTTCCGTGTCTTCCTTGTAATAACGTCGTTATTACTCTCTATTCGTGGCACGGGAGGGTTCTGTTCAATACGCCTTCCCCACTGAAGCCTCCTTTCCCACTATCTTCTTCTGCTAAGGGTCTTATTATGCGTGATCGTCACGATAAAAAGCTTCAATTTTCTGCCTTCACGTCCGACTGTTTTCCACTATTTTTGGCGCTGACTTTTTTACCTTTTTCAGTCAAAATGGCCGCTTTTCGTATTTCTGAGAAATATTCGTTCGTCAATCGAATATTGAAAATGGAAATTTCTAGAATATTTCGACCCTCCTTTTCAGCGCTTTTTCGTCGTTAAAGCCTTTAATCGTTCTTTCGTGTTCAGCCGGAAGGTTGCGCTGTGCCAGTCTGGCAGAATGGCACATTGTTGCAATTATATATTTGCATTTTGATTTTAGTTAGTGGCTTTAGAGACACTTACTATTCATTTAGAAAGGTTTGAGTGAAGAGTTTATTTAAACATTCCAGACTGCATGACTGTTTGTAATCAACTAGGACGACTGATCACTTTGTGGTGACATGAAAGACTTGGGTAATCTCCTGAAGAGGGAAATTGTTTCATTGTTCTTCCCCACCACAGAGTTCCGTAATGTTAATATTCAGGACCAATAACAACTAAAAATTCCGGAGGGAAGAAGCATAGTAGGATAATTTTATCTTTTTGGTTGGCAGGGTTGTCCTGAAACTAACACCTTTTAAAACCTAGGAGACAAAATTTTATATCAGGGCACCGACATTGGAAGTCGGAAAATTTTTTTTATCTTAGGTCATATCCTTGAAAGTGCAGATTAGTGAAAGAATTTGGAAGGCTATAGTAGTGTAGTATGATGCCATTCATATTCTGCAGTGAGTCGATATGACGTGGATAAAAGTGATTTCGAGCGTTTTGTAAATTATGTTCGATGGCACTACCATTCTTACACAGACTACGCGATTCAATGGGGACATTGACCGGGCCGTCCGGGGAGTATGTGACATTCGACCAGAATTGACAGAAAAAGCCAGTTTGAGTTATTAGCCATTGACCTTGAGAATTGGCAGTTTTAACAGATTAGCGACGTTATTGGAACGATTAGACAAACTGTGAAGGTCAGAATATTTTGGTATTTTAAATTTTTTTAATTTCGAATGGTGACGTCAGGTTTCCGAGAAACATCAAAAGCGGCCATTTTGGAAGAAAACAGAACAACGACAGAAGTTGCAAAAACAAAAACAACGATAGTTGCGAGAAAAACGACGACGAGAAATAGAAAAATACGACCGAGTATAAGCAGAGACCGCTCCGAGTTGCAACGATTGTGTCGCTACCATCGTTGCAAAGCCATTCACGCTAACGGTGAAGGGTGGAAACCAGCCTTCCGGAGAGGGAATAAGGGTGTTATTTCCCCGGATTCAGGAATCCGGAGGGGTCTTGAGACTTGAACTCAAACTGTTTCAAACTAAGTGTTAGCTGCCTGGTTATGTCCTGAATTGAATTTAAATAACACCTGGATTCATTTTCTGACGATGAGAAGCTAGGAGTTAAGGGAAAGGGTTGATCCATCTTCGATGGAGTTGATGATTTTTATCTACTAAACAAAAACACGAGTAATATAATAAATAGTAGTAGCCCTGTTTTTAGGAGTGACCTCGTGGTCTGGGGATACTGAGACCCAGCCTCGAGCTCACCATATTTGCATGTTAGTAAGTTAATTTGAGTGTTTTGACCGAAGCCAAAAGCAGTAACGTTTTTGTCGACCCGATCTTAGAAAGACCACCAAAAGAACTGGCTTTGGCAGAGACGGTGAAAAGCATGAAGAGCTTTGGTTAGACGCTGGCCAGTCGTTTTATAGCTTAGTTTTATTTTCCGTCGATATGTACTTCCGGGCGAATGTTACAGTCGCTTTTTGTCTTCAGAGCAGTTGATTGCCGTTCCTTTGGTGTGGAAAGTGCTGCATCTTTTAAAATCGATGTTTGGACGAACTGGCAGCAGCGCTGGGGAAACCAGGCCCTTATCTGTAAAAACTGACTCTTCGTGCGAACTATTCAAACCCCAAGATCGTGTTTTTTGGTGTTCTTACAAAGCGTGCAATGAAAGTGGAGTGATAGAAACTAGAGTGGGTACGTCATCTGGTGATCCCAGTACGGCATCATATCTGATAACCAAGCTAAGTGATGGCTCCAAATTGGAAATACCTGGATACTTACTCAGAAGAAGTGCGAAATATCATGCGTACCATACGAGAAACAGAAGCACTCACTCAACATGTAGCGCACACACAACTGGGGCTAATTGTAAGAACATAACGAAAATTCCTCACGAGCGTAAGAGACGTCGCCATGCTAGTGGTCATCCAACAATGCATACAGATACGACGTGAGATATTTTCGTATGGCCACCATATTTTTGCACGCAAAATATATCATTTCACGCAATCTGAGAAATATTTTGCATGCAATCTTAGAAAGCACGCAAAGTATATCATTTTAATAACCTTATTGGAAGTCTGTTTTTAGGGCTAAGAGCTTAGGCAATGACAACAAAGGAAAGAGTTTGCAGCACAGTATATTGTCTCCACCAGATCGAAACGGTAAAAAAAATGCTGGGTTTAAAGTTTAACATCGCGGCCAATTCGTCTTGTTGTGATTTGCTTAGGTCTAGAATTGGTCAACAGTAATCATGAAGAACTCCCTGGTGCAAATGTAAGAATTTACTCAAAACCTAAACGCTTTTAAAACCAATAGCTGCTGATCATCTGAATCGTAAACTTTACAGAACCCCTGCGGCTGTGTGATAAGACGATCCAACTCCGGGATGCCTGCAGATGCTCCGGCGGCAACTACATTCACCTTCTCAATTCCTGATGCAGATAGCGAAGAGGCAGGCCCTCTCTCTACGTCGCCCTCTGCCGATGAAGGCGTTGATCTGAGTGACGCCATGTTTAGCTTTGACGATGACATAGTGCAGTCGCCTCCGAAGAACTCCACGCAGAATCCTTTCCATTTACGCGGAAGACAGCTGGACCAAGAGTCAACGAGTGCATTTGTTCAGAATAGGAGTACTAGCGAAGAGGAAACACCGCGCACACCTGTCGCCGTAGCAACATATCAACAGACGGTGGCAATTTCTGGTTCTTCGTGCTCTGGTGCTAGTTTGTTTCAACATCATGTAGATACAACTGGAAGATACTTCTCAAGGAGCCAAGTACACAGACAGGCTGAAGTTAGTTATTTTAAAACATGATCCTGTTCATAAATGTACACGAAGTGTGCATTTATGAACGGGCATATCAATTGGAAGCAAAGTTGCTTGGATGTTCTCGCGAGTTCTGAAATGATGAGTTATCACAGTTAATTCACTGTGCTTCAGATTGAAACAGTTGGCTATGATGAAAACGGAACGGAGGATCTTTTTCCATCTTGTGATGATCCCAACTATCTTTGTGGTGTTTCTCAAAATGATGCTGTTGAACAGAGCACACCAGCTATAGTGTCAACGAGGGGTGTCTTCGGTGCTTCATTTGTTGCTAGTCTCACAATAAACGAGAACAGTTGCGGAGTGTCTGATGAGGGGATCGTAGACAACGACAATGACAATGCCACTGTTGCTGGAAGAGGTTGCCAAATGACAACAACAACAACAACAACAACACAGTTAGTTGATGCATTAATCGCGTTTCAAAATAAGAACTGTCTTGAATTTTTTTAAAAAATAAACACATTAATAAAAACTATTGGGCCATAAAATGTCCTCGCGGGCCTAGTAATTGTTTCTGATGCTGTTTTTTTTACACTCGAGCGTGTCGTGTCATCATTAAAACTAAACATGTTGGCTACTTTTCTTAAGGGTAGATGCATCTTGAAGTGGAGTCTCATTAAGATCTTTGTGAGATCATTTTCTCTATAGGATCCCCTTCATGCTCTTTCTTGAAATAGCTCCTTCTTGACTGACTAAGTTTGGAGCGTATTCTTTGATCTGAGGTTTCCAGACGCTGTCTAGTTTTTTTTCGTTATCTTCCACGATTTTTAGCTTAAGGGGTTGGTGCTTGGTTTTGTATAGAAAGTAGCTGCGGTAACTTAGAGAAAGTGTATTCTCAATAATAAGTATGTCGGTCTACGATCAGAATGATCAGCAATGTCGCAACTAACATGATTAAGTAGACTTGTATTAGGTAGGCCTTCGCTGTAGTAAATATCGGGTAGAAATCGCGCTACGGGGCGCTGACCCCCCTGGATTAATATAGGCTATAGAGTATCCGGTCAACACCTTATGTATTAATCTAGGGAATGGAATTTCCAATGTTTTAATATAGGTTAAAGGTTTCAGAGTTGCAGATGGTAAGTTTTTTTTGGCGCCCGATTTTGCCAAAACAGCGTTGTTTAAGATGCTCTAAAGCAATGTATGAAATCCTTTGTATTAAGATATGGAATAGCTTATTTTCTCAAAATACTTCGGGATCTGAAACTCGCCACTGAGATGGCAAGTTTCAGAATACCTTTAAATTTTAATTGCAAATGCATGTTTATCTTAAATATTCGAAAATTGCTTTTCGATGATAAGTTTGGACAGAAATGAGGTTTCAAATTAGAGAATGAGAATGTGAGCTAAAATATAAATGTTTCAATAAACTTTTCCCATATACTTCAAGTTAGATCTTGCTTGTTTTTGCGTGCTCTACCTTCTTGAAATTGAATGAATTTTGAATAAAACTTTATTCAAAAGTTGACTTTTAAGCAGAAATATTAAAGCAAAGTTAGCATGAAAAACCTTTCTTGCTAAGCACAAAAATACAAGTTCAGAAAAGAAATCTCTGAACCAGATAATTGTATGTTTTTGTTTTGTCCCTCAACTTCTATTTCTGAAGCGATCTTTCAGACCAGAAGCATGTATTTTTTATCTTGAAATTTTGGGCAATTGTTGCGAAGCTGCGGTTTGCCTCTGTGAAGAGATTTTGACCTAGATTGCATTCACCTGAATCATATGGGGCCGCAGATGTTTCGGAGGACATGAGCGATAGGGAAGACGGAGAGAGCAGAAAAGATGAGGTGGACAATGACAATGAACAAGCAGATAGTCGGAATCGAGCCATGTCAGTGGGGCCAAAGAAGCAACATTCCAGTACAGGGGACACTAACTGGACCACGAATAGCGGCGGGGGTCTACATGGAGTGACGAGTTCGAGGAAAAGTAGCAGAGGCAGTGAGAACAGCAGCTGTGGCGGCGGCGGGGGTGGAATACCCGGCAGCGGAAGTGGCGGCGGAGGCTCCTCCGGCTGGTCCGTGAATTCTGTGAGCACATCTAGTTCTTTGGATCAGCTGACCTCGAGCATTGCCAAAATGAAGACCAAACTCTCACCTTGTAATCCTTGTGTAAGTGTTGTTGATGATGGAAGAAGAGGCTTGCTTCCACAATAATCACTAGTACAAAGCTCGCCCTGCCTATTTTTAGAAAGTTTTGAACGCAACCAATCAGCTGTTGAATGGTCGAATCAATACTTATGTTCGTTCGGTTTTTCAAGTGTCTATGGATGTAGTGAAGACGTTTATACAAGTCTTAAAATTTCAGCTGTGATGATTTTTTTCTGAAGTTGGCTTTGTTATTTTTGTTTGTTTTGTGTGACTTTTTTTGGCGAATTGACCTTCAAAGTTTTTTTTTCACGAATGCACAATTTTAATTGATTTAGCTATATCCGCTTTAATAAATGGCGGCGATTTGTGCTGCCTCATGTCATGGCTAAGATTAGGCTCGAACCCCATAGTTGTCAAGTTCAGTTCATATTACTTTGCTAAGGGTAAACGCCGCTCTGCAACTATATTTCAAATTATATCTTCATCTATTTTTCTCAATTTGGTTTACTTTTATCTTAAAGTGTGAAGGAAATCAGGTTCTAGAAATTCATAGACCTTTAAATTGATTATTTTTTTTTCTGTAACTCAAAAACTTAAGTTTTTTTGAAAATTCGATCACTCCTTGCCGATCTTTTAGAAATCATCTAAACGCTTTTTATTTTTCTGATTCCTATGGTTAATGCTAAGAAATTTCTGCTAAGAAAACGCTTAAGTTAATACTTTGGTGGTTTGATCGTTGTTTTCCATTCCCTTTGCATACGCTCAAATTGCGATCTTCAATAACAAATATGTAAGCGTGAATGGTTAAGATCAAAGTTTTCCTCGGAGTTAAGTTGCCTTATTGATCCAGTTTTTTCCTTCTTGGCTTTTATATAAAAAAGTGTAAATAATGACAGGTTTTATTTTCAAAGAGACGCTGGTATATATTTTTGAAACCTTTTAATTAGAGACAAGCAAGGGTATTGTAATCGGGTACCAGATTTTTTTGCTGTAAATAACTTGGCTCAGATTTATCAATTTTGCAGGATTGGTAAATTTCAAACATTCTCAAGTTCCTGAAAATTGATTAGAGCTACCTTCATTTAGGTAGTAAATAGGCGGAGTCCGTTTCAGGCACTAAATTCCATCGGTTCATTTTCCGTTTTTTAATTTGTAGTGTATTAGTACGAACTTTATTTTTACAAGCTAACTAGCCGAAGTGTTCACTTTATTTGGTGGCACGTCTGCTGTACTCAAAATCTGGAGCATTCGAAATGTCATAGCATTTGTTCGCTGCTTTAATTGCGGCTAGTATCGGTAATTTGTTAAGCGTCCATGGCTGAGCTGTTCTCATATTCTCTTGGTCGCAGATCGAATCCGAGGCTTAGTCGATTTTTTTTTACTAATTCGAGACTTATTTCTACTTTTTCTTGTTGCACTTTGTAGAGGTGCTTTCTCTAGCCTTGGACCCTAACCCCGCCAAATTTAATACGAAGAGTTCAATCCAAATAAAGGGTTCTAGGAATCTTTTGAGCTTTAGTTGATTTGCCCTTATTTTGCTAGAAAAAAAATTCCCGGGAAAAGTCAAATTTTTGAAACTTTTTGATAATTTTATAAAAACTTTTTGACATATCGCGAAAAATGTGTTGCCTTCATAAGTTAGAGTTCTATCGAAAAACCCATTGGAGTGAATCTTTTTTGTGTTAACAGCTACATCATATTTATTGTAGAAATACAGGCTTTTTCGGAAAAGTCACTTTTTATTTTGGACAGTTTTTGGAAACTTAAAACAGTTTAAACTAATGGGTCAGTTATATAGCAAACTTCTTCGCTGCATAAAGTTCCTCGAAAATCTACCCTGCCAAATTTGAGTTCAATCCAGAAAATTGGTAATGGGAATACTACCTCTCAATTCGGCTCCGTGACTATAGAAACAACAGCTATTTTTGGAAAATTTTCCCTGTTTTAAAAACTATTCGCACAAATCTGATATTGAGCTCAATTAAAAGAACAGAAATTAGACTTCCCCTGCACCAGCTACTAAAACCTAATTTTAGTAGAAACCCCTTAGGGTATGAGTTAAGACCAGATTTTGAATTTTGAAATTTACGCATTTCATCCCGCAGCAGTAAAACATTCTTCAACCTTATAGCTCAAATAGCGTTTTTTCGGCTCAACAGGTGGAGGTTGCTTTTTTTGCCTCAGTGGCCGCACGATCATGCAATTTTTTCTTTTTAATTTTCCGACCTAATTTTTCAGAAAAAAATTTGACTTTCAAAGCTCTGGTTCGCCTCTGCTCAAATATGTTTTGTAGAGTCAAATTTTGTTCCGACCCATGAAAAAAGCTGGGGATAAACGAAGGACAATGATATAAGTCCTCCTTTATATCAACGTAAGAGTGGTTGAAGTCTTAAAATATGTTTTGAAAAAATCTAAATCAATTTCCCTGACGTTTTTAATGAAAAAGAAAAATTTAAACTTGAAAAAATTTTCGAAACTTTTAAATTTCCTTTCTTTTTTTAAAAAAATTGCCTGATAAATTTAGGCTAAACCTTTAATGCTTGTGATTGTTCAATCAGTTGTTTTTTTTTTTAAATTTTTTTCTGCAATTAATTTAGAGTTTTTGCAGGTTTTTCTACTATAAGTGAGAATATCGGTTCATCACCTTTCACTTTTTTCTTTTGAAAAGTAGCCATCTATTATATATTTAAATTCGGGCTCCACTATCTCGCCATGCTTAAGCTTTCTCAACATTTTATTCTTGCATCTTTAATGAAAGAATTTTCGCACGTTTAAGCTATATCGTATATTGCAATTGCTAAGAGTTTTTTTAACGTTTTTCCATTCTGAATTCAGTGTTTATTTCACAGAGTTTAAAATGAGCACCTCAAAAATGGGATACTGTCAGGGCTGTCAACTATGAATGCCCAAATCCTTTTAGTTAACTAGATACGACAATTTTTGTGATTTTTCAGAAAATTTTCAGAAAAAGCAAGTAAGTAATTCACAAAGTTTGAAATTCCCAACATTGTAATTGGCTTCTGTAAAGGTACTCTAAGGAGATCCAAGTTGCAAATTTTGCGTCCAAATGCGACTACTCAAATTCTTGTAGTTTTTGAGATATGACGTTTTGTGATTTTTTCTTAAAGATTTCAGAAAACTTAAATTTGATTTTTTTTTTCAAAATTTTAAAATTCCCAATCCTGTAGTTGAGAGCTCATAGATTACTTTCAGGGGTTGCGAATCTTGCCTCCAAATATGACTGGTCAAATCATTCTAGTTTTCAGACATGACGCCTTTTGTGATTTTTTGAAAAGTTTTTCAGAATATGTAAATTTTTTTTTTTTATTTAAAAGTCTTAACTCTGTATTTGGGGGCTGTCACAGTACTAATAGGGGCTGCGAATCTTACCTCTAAGTTTTTCTGCTCAATTTTTTGAGATATGAAGTTTTGTATGGTTTTTTCAAAAAAATTTTTTAGAGAATACAACTTACAAGTTTCTCAAAATTTGAAATTTCCAATGCTGTAGTTGGGTACTGTGAGATTACTCTCAAGAGCCGCAAATCTTGAATCCAAGTGCGACTGCACAATAGCCGAGTTTCCGAGCGGTGACATTTTTTATTAATTTTAAAATTTTTCCAAATAAACTACACAAAAATTTATGGTTTTTCAAATTTTGAAAACTTGAATATAATAAGACTTCAAAAAATTGAAATTGTCGACGTTGTAGCTGGGTGCTGCCAGAGAATAATCAAATGATGCATATCTTATTTCCAATATGTAAGTTTGGGGTATCAACAATCAAAGGCCCCGGAGGTGCGTTACACGCTAGTTTCAATTGATAAACGAGAACCAAACAAGCCTGAATTGCCAGCAAACAATTTACTAAATTCAAATTTTATGATAATTTCAATCAAAATTGCTCGACCAGTTCATCGTTTTGCAATGTCAAGTTGAGTTGAGATCTGCGAAGTTTCCTAATGCATTTGAGTTACTCCAATTTTTCCTAATGCATTTGAGTTACTCTTCTGTTTTCTGTTCGCTAATGATAAAAAATTATGATTTTTACTGACGTCTGCCTATGTTTGATCAGTTTTTGGGCGTTAATCTGTTTTTAAGTGTTCTTTGTAGGTTCAGGGAAGTGGACTTAAAGTTTTTTTGAATCATTTTTTTCCGGCTCAACGGGTGTCTGCTCAATGATTGTCGGGTTAGTTGTGACATCACTGATTCTTATTCTTGTGTAGTTGTTTCTTCGATTTTTTTCTTGTTTCTACATCATTCTACTTGAAAGGTGGGGTTTAAAACTGAAAAGGTATTTTATTAAATCTTTTTTTTTCTGCTGAAATTGTGTCTGCTCGAAGATTGTCGTTTTTGTTTTGGTTCCTTTGTTAATTTAATACTCATTTTTTTGGCATGTTGGCCTTGAATGAACTTGTATCGAGACATACGAAAATTTAGCTTGTGGTGGAATTAATTTTTTTCACCGTTTTCTATTTTTCGACTTATATTTTTGACTTATATTTTTGAATTTCAAAGAGTTTTAAGGTGATTGTTTGATTCGAAATTCAAAGTTAAATTTGTTGAGTCTGTTTGAGTTCATTGAGACTTCGAAAGTTCAAGGAACGTAGTCATCGTTTTTTCTGTTGTGTATTGCGGGATTTTGTCTGAAAATTTGATCACGCTCAACGTAAGTTTTAGAAGTCTGACTTTTGTTTCTTTTAGTTCAATTTAAAATATTTTGCGAAAAGAAAGCCGAGAAGCTGTTCAACTCAAAATATCTGGCAATTTTTTTCGAAATGCGCAATTGATACATAATTTGGTTTCATCCTTTCCAATTTTTTTTAAGCAAGTGTTTTATATTCCAAATTTTCAAATGCAAAATTTGTGTCTACAAATTTTGGTGTGATGTTCGCTGCATAGCATTGAAAATTCTTTAGTATATGAATCTGCTTTATTGGTGGCTGGTGTTAGTGAGTTTTTAAAGGTTCATGGCCCAGAGGACGTGCGACTCGAAATCTCTTGGTCGTAGGTGCAAATCGGTCACAGTAGTTTTAATTTTCAAGTCTTATTTTTTCGTTTCTTATCTTAATTTTAAAAGCTAAATTTGTCGTTTTCTCCTTGGTGTTTGCGAAGCGCAGATTCGCCTTTGTGTATTCTTTGGATTCTCCTTTGGAATAAAAGATTTTTTAATCCTTTTTTCATATTGCGTTGTTTTTATCGAAGAAGCGTCAAGCATAAATATAAATAAACATAAAGATATTTAAGGTGATGTAATGTTTCTTTGAAACTCGAAAGTAAGTTGATTTTTTCGAAAATAGTCTATCTATTTTTTTCAAGTTTTCTTCGCAATTTTCATACTTTCTTACTAAATCGCAAATAAAAAAGTTCATTTATTTGGAATTTTTTTCGTAGCATTGGAAATTTCATAGCATCTGTTCTCTGCTTTATTTGTGGCTAATATTTGCCACCTATTAAGCTTTCGTGGTTAGTGTGCTTGACCCTGAATCTCTAGGTCGGAGATTCAAAACTCCCACGTAGCGGGGTTTTTGCTACTTCGAGGCCTATTCCTGCTTATTGCCTTTTATAGAGCTGCTTTTTGTCGTGTTATTGCTTCTGTGTGAAACTTTTACAACTGTCTGTTGGCTTAGTTTCTATCCTTATTAATTTGCTGAAGGGATAGGAAAATAACGATATCCAATAACAAAAAGGCGCGAAAAAGCGTTGATTACTTTTAGTTTGGCAAAAGATTTTTATTTTTGAGTTGATGAACATAGTGATGACTCTTATATATAGGTTCTTATGATTGTTTTAGTATGTTTTTTTTTTGGAAAAAGTTCAGGCTCAAAATTGAGTTTTCGCGAGTGACGTTTGATTTCTTTTCAAGTTCATTTCTTTTTTGTTAAAACTAAGGCAAAACTCCACTGACGAAAACGTGCACATGGGTCGTTTTTCGGAAATTCCAGCGGAATTAGAAAATTACCCATTGATCCAGGTTTCGTAAATTGGGTTAATTTATCAAAAAAGTGTCAATCATAAGTTTTTCTAAAAATTCGAAGGGCTTTGAAGCCATCTATGTTTTGCTTTGAATTTTTTTACGTTCGTTTACTCTTTTCCAACCGTTTGTTGGCTATGTTTTCACTTGCGTCAGCTTAGTGTATTATTAAGAGCGTTTTTTAATACCCTAAGTCGCAAATATTGGTGCCACTTTTAGAGCACACTTACAGCTTTTTGATAGCATGTGCTGTGACATTCGAATAGTATTAAATGAACTCAGTTGATGACTTTTTAATTCATCAACTGAACCGAAAAAAGCTGTTTGTGTCAAACAATGTAACTCAATAAAAACTCGATTTCAGAAATTTTCTAACTCAATGTATCTCGCAATTTTTTGAAATGCATAATTTATTCATAATGTGGCTTAATGCTTTGCGATTTGTTACGTGCAAAGTTAGTGGGGATGACCTCAGTGTGTTATAATCCGAATAATTAGCTGCAAAATTGTGTTCATTTGTATTTGGTGCCACTTTTGCTGAATGGCATTGATAATTTATTAGCATATGTAGCTGCTTTATTCGCGACTAGTTGTCGGTGGTTAAGCATGCGTGACTGTGTTATTTTTGCGTGAGACTCAAAATCTCTTGATTGCAGTAGGTCGCTGATTGAATCCTAGACCTAGCCGAATGTTTGCTAATTCGAGGCTTCTTTCTATTTTCTTCCGACCATTGAAATGGATAGGCTTTTTGTATTCCGGTGTTTCAGTTTTATTTTATTTTTAATTTCCATGCAGAATCAAGTACCTTAAATAATCATCGGAGTGGGTTGATTGATATATCATGTTAAAGCCCTTACAGTGGTGATTCCATTACCACATTAAAAAGTTAAACCACATCAAAAAAAATCGATCCACATTTAAAAAATTCCCTAGTGTCGATAAAAAATGGTTGATTTTTTTTTCGGGCGAATAAAGCGAGCGAGCAGGCTTACTAAAAGTAATGCCCAAAAACTTAGTTTTAAGCAAATAAATAAAGTTTTTTAATTCCATTTTCAGAGCCTAAAATTTTCATAAAAATTTAAACCTTTTCTGCTAAATAAATTGAAAAAAAAAATGATTTTTTTTTTATTTTTTGTTTTTAGTCATTTTTCTTCAAATTTTTTTGTCCAATTGACCTATATTACCCTGACTGTCGAAGCTGCCTAAATGATAGTTTTACATCAGATCCTTTTATCGCACCTTGCTGAAAAAACTACACTAATGCGAAAAAAAAACTTTTTTGTAGTTTTTAAAGATTGGTCGGAACATTCTGTGCTACTTGCATAGTAACCAATTATCCTTTTTTCTTATTGCGACTTTGAGCTGCTTTTTGTCGTGTTCTTGCTAGTGTTTGCGAAGGGAAGCTTGGCCTCTGTCACAATTCCCAGAGGAATAATAAAAAATCTATGATCCAGTTTTTTCTAATTCTATGATCCAGTTTTTTATTAAGTAAGTTTTCTTTGCAAAAATGTCAATCATGAAGATCTTCAAATTAGTTTGGTTTGTTTGGTTTTAGTTTTCATTGAGATTTTATTCCAGCTGTGGTCTGTTGCTGGCTATTTGAAGTGGTCCATTTAGGATAGCGGCGAGAACGCTTTAGCCCGACTGGGTGTAGAAGGAAGAGGGATACCGGATAGTACTGCTCCATCAGACAATTATGGCAGCTGCTCCTCTGCTGTGCAGCTAGACTGGACTGGCAGTGAGATGGGTGCCCAAAATAGACTGGCGGTGGGGGGAAGTGTAGGAGGAGGAAGAAGTCGGCTGTCCAGTTGCAGCAGTGAAGGTGATGAGGAGACTCCGTTGGCGAAGAAGACTCGACTGCAGCGTAGAAACCACTGTTATAACAGGAGCAGCATTGAGAAGGATGCTAGTGGCAGTAGTAGCTGTAGCTGCAACCACAACCACAAGAAACACAGCATCATTCCAAGTCAATGAGAGGCGAAGAGAAGAAGTGGCGTAGAAGGGAAGAGTGAGTGAGTGGGGGGAGGGGAGGGGAGGGTAGAGTTCAGTTGTTATGGTGAAAAAAGAAGAGAATAGCTACAGTAGTAGGAGTAATACATAAAAGAAGAAGCAGCAGCAGTCTCTTCTCTTCTCTTCACTTTCATCCCATCCCATCCTTCCTTGCTCTCTCTCTCTCTCTCTCTCCCTCTCCTCTCATGTAATGATGCCACACAAGAGCACTTGTTCACCTCTCTCTCCCCTCCACACTGTATACTCATTGCATCTACATGTATTATTATTACCATATGCCCCCTGCCCCGTCCAGCCGTCATCTTCACTTGAGGAGGACACTTCAAAGCAGCAGCCGCAGAAGAAGAAGACAGTTACCAATGGTGGAGGGATGAATAGCAGCAACTAAAACTTTGTTCACCTGAAAACCGTTGTTGTCGCTTACAGTTGTGGAAACAGAAGCTCCTCGTAAAAGTGAACATGTACTACTTAAACTAATCAAATATAGCTTGGAGATCTTTGGTTATCCAAGCATCCATCCAATCGCTATCTTGAAACGCTAATCTACTTTTTTGCAGGCGGTTCATGCGCCATCTACGCTGCTAATTATGTATTTTGTAAACTTTTGTTGATTTTATTGCATATTTTGCTTGAGACAAGCAACAAAAAGAATCGGTCAAATTCTATATTTTTAAGCGTTAAATTATTATCTGTCGAAATAGTTGATTTTAGATGAGTTTGGTTTTTTTCGAAATGGAATTGATGTTTAAAATTTAGGTCATAGTTTATTTATCATCACGATATAAATTATTAACAGTTTAGCTGCTGTGTTAAATTCCCGTGCTAATGATGTCGTGCTTTTAATTGAGTTTAATAGTGTAAAATATAAATGAATCATCATCCATTATGTTCCTTCCCATTGGGTCCCTTGTAATCCTTTTCTCTCATTTGCATCAACGGCCATTCGTTGAGGGCAGTGGCGAGGAGGGAATAGTTTTATTGTTTCGAGAGTTTCAAGAGGAAGAGAAGATGTTCTGATGTGAGTGTCTGTAAATGAAGTCAATATCCTATTGGGACAATGCATCTGCTGGCTAATGCAGCTACAACTGTCCGCACCGCATCTCACTCAGTTAAACGCGTAACTAAAGACTGCTCTTGCTATTCTCTCACTGATAAACATGGTCAAGATCATCGACATCGCCAGCAATTGGGCATTGACTATCAATACAGGCAGTACTGGTTTACTACCTCATTGTTCCTTCTTCTCCTCTCTTGCACTGTGCTACATCTCCCCCTCTCATCCTCTAAGTTATGAAGCTTAACGGGGGGGGGGGGTTGTAATGGTATATGGTATGGCGATGAAGGGGAGAAAAGAAGAGGGGAGCAGGGTGCTGGCCAAGTTAAGTATTAGCCTAAGCTAGTCTAGTTGTCTCCTTCATTTGATTTAGGGAAACTTATTTTATCCAGTGCTCTATGCATATGTACATGTATAACTACTACTTTTGGTGCACTTTATTATATTAGCAGCAGGACTGAACAGATTCATAGTTCAACTTCAACAGTGGCATTTGAGAAACCATTCATGATGATGTGATGTGCTACATGAATGGTTACAACGCATTTCTTTCCGTCTCTACCTCTAGCCAAGCTCAAATCACATTAAGTGGGCACAGCAGCAGCATCCTACATCCCCTCCCCCCTCTGGTTGATCGAATAACTTGAGGGGTTTGAAAATGTGGAACTCATAATAGTTAGGTGGGCTGCTGTTTGTTCTATTTGGGCTGGGCGATCTAGCAACCGTGCGGGCGCCTTATTTTATTATCTCTCATCACAATCCTACTGCATTATGTATTGAATGTGTTTTACTCACCAATGTCACCTTGTCGCAATGTTTTAAAGAGAATTTGTGAGAATGTATTTTTGAGTAGCAGACAACAGCTAATGTTTTTTTACTCGACAGAGTAAAATTGAAACAAGCGCGTGGATCTGAAGAGGAGCCGCGAAATATAAAGAGTTCAAAAAACAGTTCCACTGAATGTCTGATAAAAAAAGATTGGTCGTCTAGAAGCTGGTACGACGACTGAGAGATTATCAAAAAGCCTGAATAATTTTGCTGTGCTTCGGCACAACATAAATTCATTCTTTTCTTCAACTCCTCACCTGCTAATCAATCTGACGAGGAAGAACTGTCAACACAGGTTTTCTCCGACCAGAGATAATAGTTTTTACAATCAAACCTTTCTGTTGTAATAGGCCTTTCAAAGAAAAAAAGCTTCTCCATGTTCAATTTTTTTCGCCAGGGATTAAGTCGGAAATATATCCGCTTTATAAGAGCACATTCAATGTTCCTTGCAATTACTATTAGACGCTGTGTAAACGTTTCGAAAACAGTTTGATCATAATCTCTCTCAAAATTAGCAATTCTTGTTATCGGCAACTAGATTTTTTCATTTAGAATTTTAAAATAACAATCACGTGCAACTGCTAAAATGCTCACTTTCTTATAAATACAAATGGAACTACCTGGTTCATATTATGTGTTAAATAATTTTACCTATAAAAAGCACCGTTTTTTGGTAATTACTTCCTATTTGCTCACGCAGGCTTGCGAGGATGATGGTGTTATATTACGAGTCGACATTTTTCTAACCCAACATGAAATAGTGCTAATTTTCATAGATCTTTTGCTGCACACCATTATAGCATTCAAAAAGTTAGCCTTATTGCTGACACATTAGAAAAAACATCTTCAGGCCTTAACAAAAACAATTATCAGATTTCCAGAAATTGAGTTTCAAGTCCTCGCTATTACGCTTAACAACCTCAAAAACGTTTTTTCTTAGTTTGTGATCTTCTGCCTTTCGAGCTATTTAATTCAGTTTTTGCTCTTAATGTATGCGGAGTGTAGATTTGTCACTGCTGACAATTTGTAACTTTTTCTAATGCCAGCTGTTTTTTAAGAGTTGCGGCACGTAGTTGAGACTCTTATACAGGTCGTGACGACTCTTTTTAAGAAAAAGTCTTAAAATTGTGCTTGTTCAATTTCATTTTCGCGGTCTGATTTTCGGTTTCTTGTTAAATTTTATTCATTTACTTTGTAAAAGGGAAGGCAAACCCCACTATCTAGCAGCTAAGTGTAAAAGTCACGAAAAACGTGATCGACCACTAGTATCGCAATTGGAACTTAATTTTCAGTATTCCCACCGGAGCGAAAAATTTACCTAATGATCCAATTATCTTAAATTACATTAGTTTTTTCAAAAAAAAGTGTCCAGCATAATTTGTTTTTGAAATGCAAAAAATTTAAACGGGATAAATATAATTTTTGAAGTGCGAAAGGTTTTTTCAGAAAACATTGTTTCCCTGCCTTCATTGATTATTATCTCTGAATAATCTAATCCTTAATTTAGTCGGACAACTTTTTTTGTACTATGCAGGGTAAAAAGTTTTAGTTGAAAAGTAAGGTTTCGTCAACACACGAAGTCACTCGGGATGTCTTCTGAGGTAGTTCAAGGAAAATCGAATGTTTTAATAGACTTAGTTCGCAGACTAACTTACAAAAAGCATTTTTCACAGTTTCTAAATGATAGTCAACTAATCAGGCTCGAATTTATTCTCGTAAAATTGTTTTTAATTTATTGGAACAATGTTTCTCAAACTTTAGTTATCAGTCTTTTCAAGTGACAGTTTTTCTAGAAAACAATTACAAAAGGATATGACTGATGAACTTAGACGGTTTTAAAAGGAAACTTGCAAACCGGACCTTTGTTTGACGTACAACTTGTATATACCAGTCTTTTGGATTGCTGCCAGAGGCTTTTAACTACCTTGGATTTTTCAGCGGATGCCTACATTCTTACATAGATGTTGGCTCTGTTTTTAATGCAGCTGGTTTGAGTTGCTGCACGCCGCTCGACTGTTGAACAAGTCTTGACGAGTCTTGTCTTCAGGAAAACCTCTTGAAAATTTTGCGCGCTCTATTTTGATTTTTCGCGGTTTGACTTTGGTTTCCTCTGAAGCTTAGTTCATTTTCTTTGTAAACTCCCCTATCGAGCATCAAAAGTGCAGAACTCATTAAAAACATCGACTTCTAGATTTGAAAATAAAATTTAAATTCCAGGTTTCCTAGCGAAACGAAAAATATATCTTTTAATACAGTTTTCTCAAATAACGTTAGTTTTATCGAAAAAGAGCCTTCGTCTTTAATTGTTCTTGAATTGATAACACTTTTAAAATCCAATTGTTTTTTCATTGGAAGTCGAAAAATAGAAACTTTTCAAAAAATGATTTTTTTTTGTTTCCTGTGTATAATAATTCTTTCCAACTGTCTGTAAACTAAGATATATAATACAGCTTTTCGTAAATAAAATTCGACAAGATTGTGCATGTTTGTAAATGAAATTTTTGAAAAGAGTCACTTTTTCGAATTATAAATTTTGACTGTTTTGGTTTATTTAACTTTAATTGCGTGAATTCTGCAGATTTTTTCAGCGCATTGTCAAAAACTCGCTGTTTTATTTCACTTTAAAAGAAACGGTAACTTACAAATGGCATAAATTTTAAGTTTTCATTGTAGTTAAAACGTTTTCTGTCAATTTTTAATTCGAAAATTTTGTCAGGAACAAAAGCATGTGAACAAGATTAGGAATTAAGTGCTTCCAAACAAATTTAGGCAACAAAATTGTCAAAAAAAATTGACCACAAGAAGCTTATTAACAATCGCAAGATTACGCTTCTTGCTGTTGATAAAAAAATCTACAACTTTTTCAAGATAAAATGTCAATCAACATCTGAATTGATAATTTGACTTATTTTCTCACTTTGTTCACAAAAAAATTGAACTCAATTTTTTCAATGCAACTGTTGCATGAAAGTTATGCCAATTTGGATATTTTTCATTTTATGCCATTTGGGAATTATGCCATTTGAGACGTAATCAAAGAAAGGATGTAATACGTACGCGTGTTGTATACAATTTAGCCAGACAAATTTCAAGTAACTTCACCGCTGGAAATATGTCTTGAAATTTCAACATTTCAAATCTAAAACTGTTATCTGTTTGGAACTAATTTCGCTAGCACTTTTTTTCATAGTTTAAATTTTTGCCTAGTTGCCCGCTGCCATAAAATCAACTTGAAGTTGAGAGAACAAAAAATTATTATCAATAAACGTTGTGACCATTTCAATGAAGATCATGATAAATTTATAAGCTTTCTATGCATTTAAATTTTCTTGAAAATGCTTATGCTTATTGTTCATGTATATGTATCTATTTTTGTTCAATCAACTTCGCAACAAAAATTACGCTTTTTATTTGGGAAAATTGACTGATTTTGATAAGGACTTGAATTAAAACCTAAGGATTTGATAAGGATAGTGAATAGTATTAACTAAGGATAGAGTTGAATGCCTTCAATGGTTCTTAACGAAAAAGGAGATAGAATAATTGACGACACAAGGTGGTTATTATCCAACTTATGAACCTAGATTTCAATTTATTTAATGCAAAATTGGTTGTGCAGCAAAACTGAAGTTGGTCTTTGAGTTTGTATTGAGCAATTTTGAAATCTGTGCATAGCGCTTTTTCCACGTTCATAAAAACACGCTCATCAATATATCTTTATTGGTTTGGATTAAATATGACTCCAAAAACATTCAGAACAAAGGCAAGCACGGGACCTGTCAAGTTTGATAGCTGAAGAGGCAAAAAAACTATTAGAGTTGATGAATAACATGGGAGTTTTTGCGGTATTGCTCAAAAACGTGGTATTGTTGTCAGAGTGCAGCGATACCTGGACTGCTTCTGAGAAGTTAACAAATTGAAGAGTGAATATTGCCGTTGTGGTAACTTGATGGACTAAGAGAAAATTCGTAAAGATTTAATTCATCTTGTTAGTATAAGTAAATAAGTAACTTCAATATATAATGTCATGACAATTAAACTGTGTCTACTTATATCTTGCATAAGTTGATTAGAGAGTGAATAAATAAGCTGCATAGAATTG